AACTCGCTCGAACTGTTCTCTCGCATCCCAAAAATAAATTGTCTGGCTCTTTAGACGAAGTGGTAACTTTTCTTTCTACTTTTCTTGTACTGAGACAAACCGTATGCTGTTTTTGTAGAATCACTTCACCAAAATTGCTTGTTTATTTAATTTACTTCCATATGACTGCTCCAACCTTAAGCCCGGCAAGTATGCGCTTCAGGTCTCAGACGGGTGGGTTACGAAGGGCATGAAAAAAGGTTTGGGGCATGTTTGTGCTTGCTACGTAGTTGTCGGCGATATCAGGGTATAGCCTGGTATAAACTGGAGTTGGCTGTGCCAGGGGCTAGGAGTTTGTATCTGCGAGTTTTCAAGTGTAAACTGAAAATTGAGTACACTTTTGATTTTGCAAATCAGGAAGTGTGGGAATGAGGTTTAGTTGCCAAAATTGTGTACAGTTCGTCATTTGCGATTCAGAAAGTGCCAGAATACGTTTTAACTGTCAAAATTGTGCACATTTCTCTTCCGAAACACTTACAGCATTTTATTCGGCGAGTTTTGGGTTTTGATTTTTGCACTCGGTGTACACTGCATTTTCTCACAGCTACAGAGTCCAGCCCCAGCTGGGTATATTTAAGTGAAGTCACAGAAGTTCAAGCTCTCTCATGTCTAGGGGTAGCGGGTGTTGATGAAAGCCTTCCAATGCAGATCGTTGAACATTTTTGAATATTTCAATTCAAGTTATTCAATAAGTGAAATTAATAATTAAGAGATATTGTTAATAGAACTGAGTTTAAAACGGAAATCTAAGACAATTTCAAGCGAAAGAGATTTCAAAAAACTTAGTTTGAAATTTTAAAGAGGGTTGCCACCTATTTCAAAGTCAAATTTGTTTAACTTATACACGAGTTAAATGAAATATTAAAACATGAGTGTCCAGCCGTCTTTAGTTCGAAAATGTTACTGATTAGTTTTGTCACTCATTCGAAGAGTATAACTATGTATGTACATTAGGATGGTCCAAAAATGCTTGTGAAAAAGTAAAGTGGGAATTTTTATGCTCTCACCCCCTAGGGTTGTTCTATACCGAAAAAATATACCCTTATTTTTTATTTTAATACCAAAAAATATTTAGAGGTCGCTCAAACCGCCCAAAGTGTTCCATGTATTTTATATGGGCAGAAAACAACTTTTCGTAGTAATGGTATAGAATAGTTAAAAATCAATACTTTTTTAATACCCAATTGTTTGTTGTTTAACAATTTTTTCATCGCAACTATAATTTATAGGTCCACCAAAAACCCCGAAAAATTCAATAGGGCAACCAATAAAAAATCCTTAGTATTAAAAGTGGTTAAATAAACAATTGGGTATTATTATAGAAAGTATCCTGAAGAGAACCATAGTTTTCCGAAAAATATTGAATTTCAAGAATTCTATACCATTTCTATGAAAAATTTCATTTTTTGCATATAAAAATACATGGAAAACCTTGACCGCTTTGAGCGACCTCTAAATATTTATTGATTTTAATATAAAAAAAATAGGGTGAGAGCATTACAATTCCGACTTTACTGTTTTTGGCCACCCTAATGTACATATCGTCGTTTAAGGTACAAAACCGCTTGTCGTGGTTCTGCAAAACCTCATAACTAACTTTTGTGCCAAAAAATATATTTGCTCAACGGAAGCTCCTGGCATCAAACTATAATCCATCCATACTAAAATATCGATATTCAGATATAGGAAGAAGATATAGTTAGGGATAACTATAAAGTTAAGGCAGCCTCATACCACGTTTTGCATTTTCTTGACACGCGGTGTTATACTATAAATTACGATATAGAGATATATAGTACGAGAAGGCATTTTTTAAGGCAAAATATGGAAAACTCTTGGTTTGATCAGTTTGAAACAGTTGACAGCGATGATGCAGATTATACTACTTAATATGACGAAGAAGCCAATACATCAGACGGAATTGGTATTTGGTAGAGGTGTCATGTCATGGTGTGGCGATAGTCACACCATCGATAGTTTTGATAGTTTTAAGAAAAACTATCAATATTCACGATAGTCTCGAAAAAAAAACTATCGATAGCACTGTCGATAGCGCGAAATTAGTTAGGTTACTTTGTTTAAATATTATCTTATAATCATTCAAAATTAAATAACCGCTTAGCCAAAATACTTCTCTTCTTTAGAAAGTTCAAACACAAACACAAATTATACAAACAAAACCGGATAACTATCGATATTGATAGTCTAAAAAAATTGAAACTATCGATACTATCGATAGTTTGACAACTCTAGTATTTGGCCATGATCTTTTGTAATACTCTCCACATACCAAATCACAGTTCATATTAATGGTATGGAAAACGATCTAAACCCGATATTATAAAATTCTGTAATAAATCTAAGAGAGGCGTGGATACATTGTCCTTTGTTTTGATCGAAGTGGGTCAAAAGCTTTGATTTGCGTACATTCACCAACCAAAACGGAGTCCACGAGGAATACACGCTATTGCCTTTTTCAGGTCTGTTCGATCTAAGAGCAACCTCCAACATCAAGTTGTACTCAATCATTGTGTTACGAAAAAGATAGTTCCTTGCTACGAGTGTCCGTATGCGATGAATGCAAATGATCATATTTATATTCTCATTTTCGTTGTTGGTGTTTTCGACAGGGTAGGATTTTGATGTAATGTGGAACGATTTTCCGTCAGCTCTTGTCAAATTTGGTTTGGAGACAAACCGGTTTCGGCGTTGTGCCATCTTCAGTGTCATTTTTCGTTCTGAATAGTTTCTGTTTGTCCGTCACTATTTATAGCCGTGCTAAATCGTCGTTGGTTTTTAGTTAGGTACGGATCATAATCTTTTATTCAACCAGTGGTTTTTGTTCTGTGCATACATCCGCAAGTAGAAATCAGCTGCTCACTTCTTCTTGATTAATTGTTGCATGGATTCTCAGGTAGGTAAAAATCTGTTGTTTTCTTTCCCTTTGTTTCTGTAGTTTGGGCTTGCGTTTGATTGTTTATGGGCGTCGCAGGGTTTCTGTCCTGTTTTTCGTATAGTAGCTTGAGTGGTTCGAATAATATATCAGATGCTTGTTCATTTATTATTTTTCCGACGAACATCTTTTGTTTGTATATCTCCATATTCTGTAATACGTTTAGGCGTTATCCTTTGTGCTGTACATGGAGAACTTTGGCTGTGTTTCCTATTTTCATTGGCGTACAATGGTTTTCTGCCATAAGGTGTGCGAAGTTCGGTTCCGGTGTGGTAGATGGTTTTAGCATTTTTTGTTGTAGTCCCTTATATGCTCACGATATCTAGTTTTTATCTTGCGCCCGGTTTGTCCTATGTAACTATGTTGGCATTCGTTCGCAAGTCCTTGTTTGTCTAGTGGGTCTTCCTCGTTTGTGTTATTTGGTAGTATCCTCCCCACGTTGTCCTTCGTTCTAAATTCTATATTGATGTTATACTTTTGGAATACTTTAGCCAATTCATATGATGTTTTGCCCGTATAAGTTAAGACTGCCCAAGCCTTTTCATTATTTTCCTTCTTAATTGATTTCTTCGCTCTTGTTTCTCTTCCTATCTTGTTTACTAGGCTCTTTCTGTATCCGTTATTTTTATATATTGCGTATATCGTATTTGNAAGCCTTTTCATTATTTTCCTTCTTAATTGATTTCTTCGCTCTTGTTTCTATTCCTATCTTGTTTACTAGGCTCTTTCTGTATCCGTTATTTTTATATATTGCGTATATCGTATTTAGTTCTTTGCTCGTTCGTTCAAGCCTGGTTGTTAGATGTCTAAAGGCTGCATTTTTGTACTGTCGAGGGTGGTTTGAAGTATTGTGTATTATCGTGTCTGTGGCCGTGAGCTTTCTATATATCCCGAATTCGCATTTGTTGGTAACCTTATTGATTTTGATTGTTATGTCCAAATAGTTTATTTTTCCTTCGTTTTCCTTATCCATAGTGAAATTTATATTCGTATTTTGGTCGTTGAGATAGCCTAAAATTTGTTCTTCCTTGTCTCCTATTACAAGACATATGATGTCATCGACGTATCAGCGCCGTCATATACTTTTCCTCTAAGTGTTGCATGAACACTTCCATTAAAATTGCGGATGTGGGATTACCCACTCCTAGCCCGTTAGTTTGTCTATATATTTTGTTATTAAACTTGATATATTCATATGTTCCTATATCTTTCANTTTTCCTCTAAGTGTTGCATGAACACTTCCATTAAAATTGCGGATGTGGGTTTACCCACTCCTAGCCCGTTAGTTTGTCTATATATTTTGTTATTAAACTTGATATATTCTTTCGTATCTTCCTAATTATCTAAGTTTTTCTCAATAAATATTTGTCCTTTACTTTTCATCAAAAATGCTACTGTCTTTGAATATTTTCCATTAGCAATCTTAGGCATCACGAACGCTCCGTCTGCAAAGGAATGGTTTAAAAATTAGTCCGGCGGCATACATAAGTGTAGCCGTTTTAAAAGTAACCGAGCCTATTGCAACTTAATCGGCGCAATGCAAGTCGAAGACGACCGATGGACTAATAATTTGCAATCAGAGACGGTGTCGTCTCAGACGAATCGTTCGTGCGGCCTATCGTTCAAGATACATATGTACATAATAAGGTAGTAAATATGAAATAAATGAAAGNGGTGTCGTCTCAGACGAATCGTTCGTGCGGCCTATCGTTCAAGATACATACATAATAAGGTAGTAAATATGAAATAAATGAAAATAGTTTTTTCCTAAAAAAACCCAAGTTTTATTCATATTCCAACACATTTTTCACCGAAACAAATATTGTTTAATTAATTTCACGTTAAAACAATGCATTTGGTATGCAGGGTCATTTGACACTTTAACACCGAATTCGTTTGGAAAAATTATATACGGATGAAGGTTAATTACCTTAGCCAACTAATATTTGCCTTAACTATTTTTCAAACATTTTACTGATCGCTCCTTCTATTTCCCTCTTTTTTCAGACATACTTGAAGGTCTCCGCCCGGGCTCACCAAAGCCGGGGCACATTGAACGCGTTGACTCTGAGAAGAGCGCCGACAACGCACCGACCGAAGCCAATAAGAGTGATGATCCCGTTATCACACAACGTTTCCTCAAAATCAATGTACGCCATATCACCGATGGACAGGGTGTTGTGGGTGGTGTCCTCTTGGTCACACCCAATGCCGTTATGTTCGACCCAAATGTATCTGATCCATTAGTGATCGAACATGGACCCGAAAGTTATGGAGTAATTGCACCAATGGAGTTGGTCGTCAATGCGGCCATTTTTCATGATATAGCGCACATGCGTGTATCGGGCGGTGTGAATACCGAACAAAATGAAAATGCCGAAATCTACTATCCAAAAGCAGTATTAGAAGCGCAACAGGCTAAGGAGGCCAAAGAAGGGGTGGCGGACGAAGCAGACGGTGGCGTAGCCAAACAGCGAGGCGAAGGTGAAGGTAAGCGTACGTCGCTTGCATAAGACGTTGATAAATCTGTACAAATGTACCTATACTTGAATGTGTTTGCAGTGTCAAATTATTCACGCCAATTATTCATGTCATATACGTATTAATATATTCACTTTGAAAACAAACAGGTGGTTCGTCGGAGGCATGTGACGATCAGGAGTCGTTGTGTTCGCAGGTAAGTGATTATTGTGCATGCATATATTTTTTATGCTGATTATAGTTTAAAGTTATATTTACATATGTGTACTTTATATTTTAGCATAAAGATGACGAGAAGGGTGTGGAAGCCAAAGAAAGTGCTAAGACTGATGATGAGGGTGATTCGGCCAGTGCGAAAGCCAATAACAAAACAGCTGACAATGTTGATGCTAATGATTTGAAGAAGAACCTTAATATCACTGATACACGCACCACTCTGGAGGAAAGACGCAAAAGTCTGCTGGATCACCATTGGGCCATACCAAGCAAGGATCGGTAAGCAATCAGCATTCGATCCATATTCGCGTAAAATTCTCCAGACTGCATGCATTCTTGTCGATGTTTTTTGTTTTCGTCCTCGTCTCTCTTCCCGCCGCTCTCTCACTCTCTTTCCTTCTTTCTCACTCGTTATTGTTTCGATGAAATGTTTTTTAAGAGGATTACAAATTATGTACTCCTTCAGAAATTTCTAGAATAGATCTGTGTATCTATATATCAAAGAGTGTGCTGATAAATACTAAAATCTTTTTTACGCTCGGCATCATTCGTTCTATGAGAGCCTTCAGAGCAACATTAACCTAAACTAAATGGTTTCAGGTCCAGTTTGTTCTTCACATAGCCTAGATGGTATTCGTGTTCCGAATAAGCCTACAGACTTTTTCTAAAGTTCTGGAATTTTAACACAATTCACGATTTTAGATAAAATGTCGAAATTTCTGTGTCTTACGAAATATATTTCTGAAAGTCTTGAAGCTGATTTCTAAAAATTGAAATTAGTTGGTTAACTTTTACAAAGGTTTTTAATATAACAAAATTACGGAAAACAGTTTTAATTAGAGCCGAATATTTTCAGCGCGATTTCAATGCAGTATTTGGTCGCAGGGATGTTTTAAAATAAGCCGAAAGCGATGTGAATATTTTCGACCTGTAAAAGTAATTGTATATTCACCAGTAAGTTCGAAAATTGTAGTATTCGTTATAATAGGTGTTCTCATCCAAACTAGATGACGATGCCCGTAGGTCTGGTGGTCCATAATGATAGCGTTATGGCTCTTAGTTTATGCCGGCCGTATACCTAGAAACAAGACCAAATGGATACATTAATATGAGGCTTGGTAAATTCCTGACCTTCAACAAAATTAATTCTAACAGATCGTGGAGAAACTACTGATTTAAGCACCGTCGTTTCTGTTTTATCTAAGCCTTTTTATATTTGCTAGCGGAATGTATGTAGCAAGCAATAAGCCAGCGCGGTACCCGATTCTTAGTGGCCATTTATGGCTGAAAAAAATCTGTCTATCCTGTATGTCTATGGCCCTGTACCCAATTACCACGCATCTCACTGCACACTTTATGATTTTTAAGTAGGCATCTAAGTTTATTCCTTCTTGCCTTTTGTTTCACAAGTTAAACTGATTATTGAATACCAGAAGAGAAGCGAAGTAGTCTAGATACTTAAGAAACTGCGGAGAGAAGGTTAAACTTTCATAGGAATAGAGAGAAAAGACACCGTACTAGTGCGTTCGAGCCCTAACTGCCAAAAAACGAAGCGTAGTTTTTTAAACATTTTCCTTTTGATGCTGAAATGCATGAATATGCTCTAGGGGCATTACTCCATCAAAAATAATATTTTCCAAATTTATCGCTTACGTTTTTCTGGCGGTTAGGTCTCGGTACACGTAAATATTTAGTGTTTGTTCCTATAGGAAAAGCGGATATATCTCACCTATAGCGAGAAGCAAATAAATCTCACCACATGTGTCAAAAGTTCTGCTTGCATTGGTGTCTGGCCCAATTATGGTCTGGATATTGTAGTCAACTGTTACCTGTCCCGACTCGACCCCAGTCGGCATGTGGAGACTTCCTACACGAAACCAACCACCTCTTCACATGCCAGCACAATCTCACTCAACTAAGACCAGTCTCTCTTTGGTCCGACCCCGTTGAAACAGCCCATTTCTTGAGCCCACCGTTAGTTAAACTTGACGACTACGATTGATGGACTAACCGAACTAGGCGGGGCTTAGTAAAGCCCTTACAACAACAACAACAACAAAGTTCTATTTGAAATAGGGATTTAACCAATTCGTTGAGTATTCATAAATTTTTTGGTGTTTAGTAATTTTTTGTTAAAAATGTGCTTTTTTAAATAAAACAAAAAATAAGTAATTTCTTTTTTTTTAAGAAATTCTTTTTAACCAAAGAGAGAGCATACTTTTTTTGAACAATATAAGTTTACAAAAAATAAAAAAATATGGAAAAAATTTGTAATTATCAATTAACGATAATCGGTAACAAATATTACCTAAAATTATAAAAAAAAAAACAAAAACAATTTTTTCCAATCAGTTTTGTTTTTTTTTTGCCTGCTAAATTATGGGAACGATTTATTCACATGAAGTTGGTGATAAGGCTGAACATGTTTTTTTCGAGACGTCGTCAAAATATTTTTTCCAAAATATATGCACACAAAAATTTATGAAAAACGAAAATATTTATATAAACTAAAAAAAAAATTCTAGACACTAAAATTTTGTTCTTGATTAAAAAATTCAAATTCAGTGATTTCATTTGCTAAAGTTTCTTATTAAAAATAGGATTTCCAATTAATGTTTTTAGTTTACGGAACAATTTTTTACCAAAAACGGCCTTAAGCTCAATAAAATTGTTTAATATAAATTATTATTAGGGTAAAGACATAGCAAAAACTAAAAAATGTACATATATGAAACAAATTTGTTATTACTTATCTTTTTAGTAAAACATTTAAGTAGAATAAATATTTGTAAAAGATTTAAAGATTTGGTTTTTTTAGATATTTAAAATTTTTACCTAGTTAAACAAATCATTAAAAAAATTTGTACCTGCTTCGTATTTTTCTTCTGAATAATTTTTGGAACTGAAAAACATTTTTTAGCTAAAAAGAAAAGAAACGATTCTAAAGCTTTTTTTTCAGAGATTTCACTAAAAAGTCTTTTGCTAAAATGAGAGTACTTTTTTAATTAAAAAATAATAATGAAACAAAAAAATATATTTTTGAAAAATTATGAAAATAAAAATTTTCCACAATTTAGAACTTATGCTTCTACAAATGATTCCAAACAGAGGAAAAAAATTACTGCTGAAAGAGAATTCCCAAAAAACATTTCTTAGTTTTTAAATAAATCTGTCTTCTTTACAACCAACTTCTAGGTATTTTCAAAGTCTCTGAAATAGTTTGTGTAAATCTTCTGGCTTTCTTACTAACTTACAGCTTCTGGGAGCCACTTGCGCCCACCTAGTCAATTTACTTTGTGTCATGCTTCCTAATATTTAAGAAAAAATTTGTTTGGCAATTAATACCCATCAGAAATAAATCGCCCTTAATGTGTGTATGTAGATCGGTCTTATGTCATTGGCGACAATTCAACATTTTTCCTACTTTACTCGCGGTCTCGTGTTTCTCTATTCCCACGCTGACTAATCACGCATGCCGTAACAGCGTGTGTGCGTGAGTCTGTGTACTATAGCATAAATAATAATTGGTAGTATAGAATATTAACTATAAAATATCGGTTTTAATTTTGTAATTCTTTTATTTTCTATATTTTCATATTTGAATTGTGAAACTGCCACACAAACGCACACCCATTATGTGTATTTTCTAAAACTTCTCAAATTAAATTAAAAAAAAAAACTCAACGGTACCTACTCCACTATAAATATGGTAAAACATAATTGTCAACAACTTTCAACTACGCAAAAATAATACAACCCATTTACATCTGCTCTGCTCCAACTGCTGCTTTCCATTATTTGTTTGCAAATATCAACCAAATTGTCCACTAAACGAAACCAAACTCACATCATCAACAACGCGTATCCATTCACAAATTCATATTTAAAATTTTGCAATTCCAACTTCCGAAAACTTTCAAAAAATTCAGCCTCTATTATCTTAATTCCCGAAGATCATCGGAAGACGAAGGCGACAACGAATCGCAAACGACCATCGATAGTGGCGCACGTGGGCAGGATCCACACTCGGCCACCTCTTCGATCAGCGGCGTTGGTGCGGTGAGTGGCATGGGAGTGCACGTGATTGGCGGTCTAGCACCCGCCGATCTCGAACATCTGGAAGAACTATCAAAGCAGTCGTGCTACGATTCTGGCATCGATATACGCGATCCGATACCAAATTTGCAGCCTATACCAAAGAAGACCGTATACAGTGATGCCGATATTGTGCTTAGCTCCGATTGGGTGCCGCCGAAGACCATCTCGCCGACATTGATGAGCGAATCACCGCCGCGCAGCTCGGTGTTGGGCGCACAAAGTCTCGACGCGGGCACCACAAGCGGTGGACGCAAGAAGACCTCCAGCGTTAGCTTTAGCGTCGACGACAATAACGGCGAGCAACAAGCTGCTGCGGCGGTGGCAGCATCGGCGGCAGCGACCGCCGCTCAGGGTGATAAGAATGCTGAGAAGAAGAATAAAGTATAAAGAAATTGTATTTAAAAAGAAAAGGGAAAACATATTTTTAATCTACTCTCCTTTGCTTGCAGATGTTGAAACGTTTATCGTATCCGTTGACTTGGGTTGAAGGCCTCACTGGCGAAGCAGCTGGCCCTCCGGGTACTGGTGGCAGCCTCGGCAAGTCGGCGAACTCTGATTCGGCGCCCAATACGGGCGATTCGAATCAGAGCGTATTTTCAAAAGTATTCTCAAGGTGAGTAGCCAAGCACAGGGTGGCTTTCGATTGTGTATGCGCTTTTAAGTTTATTATTATTTACGTAATTAGTTTTAATTTTATTATGAAAATGCAAATTTAATTGGTATTCCACTTTTCCTTTGATTTTCTTCTTTTCCCAAAAAATTAAAACCAACAAACATTCTTTGTAAATAATAAAAAAAATGCTCACTAAACTTGCGGCGATTGGAATATTTTACTTCTTTCTTTTGTATACCAAAAACAAACTCTCTATACAATTTATGTACCTTTTTTGATTTACTTATTTTCGAACACTTTTTTCACATACAAACCGGCACCCAAAAAACGCTCGATCCAACACACGCGCTTTATAACATTTACTCAAAAATACCAACCTTTTTATTTTTTTTTACTGCATTTTTTTTTGTTTTGTACATATTATCCACCTCCCCACTCCACTTAACTCACCTCACTGCAAACAAAAAACATCGTTTTCTTTTTGTTTTGCTCGCAAACTCTCAGTTCACCAATCACTTTGGTCTCAGAGTTGGGTGGTAACTTATTTTCGAAAACACCGTCCGAAGACTCTGGTGGCTCACCAGTGCCACCATTGACTCCGCATTCAACTCATTCCGAGGGTCATATTTCCACTGGGTAAGAATTGTTGTAGTTGCTTAAGATTTATTTGTAATTTGGCTAACTAATAGCATTGAAAGTGAGAAATGCAAAGGTTTTAAATCGAAAAAAGAAAACAAAATTTTAAATGCAGTTACTTATGGATTTGTTTAAGTGCTTGAGTGTGGTTTCATTGTCTTTTGAAAAATTGCAGAGCATATCTGCGTTTGAGTTTTTAATAAGTTTTGTTCTTAACTCACTAACTTGTTTCCATTAGTTCTCAGTTTTTAATTCAAGCGCTTGAATATGGAATTCTTAAATCTATTCTAGTTATACTTATGTACTATCGAGCCTTATTTTAAATTCCCTCCTAGTCTTCGAATCATCTGTTCTGTGTAAATTTCTTTTGCTATCCTTTAGAACTTACTTATGTATGTATGTGTGCATTACATAATTGTTTCCATGTAAATAAGTAAATCTTCGTTTTATAAAAGTTTATTACTTACTCACATAATTTGTTTTCTTGCACCTCTTCATTTAATCATAAACCTCGAAGTTGAGTTACATATTGCGAAAAGAAGTTTTACTGAAATTACTTGTTGCATAATTTTAGGCGTAGAATACAACGTGACACGGAATGACCCACATTTATTTTTGGTCAAGGCCTTTCACATCACTTTTCTGGAACACAAAGATACACATATGTACATATGTATTTTATCCTGTTACAACAAAGTATATACTTCCCCTTNAAAAAAGTTAAACATTCTAATAATAGAAATATTAACAAAAACCAACAAAACCAATAACCACACGATCAAGTGAATTGCAGCGGAATAGCTGCTCTTGATTGTAGTTGGCTTAGCAAAGTGAATAGTGGAAAATAAGCAACCGCAGTACCGATTTAACTTTACTCCATACACACTGCGAGATGTACGCTCCAATTGTTTCTTTATTTGACATACATTTATTTGAAAAAAAAAACACCTTTTCATCTGCTTTCCAATAGCAGAGCTATTGGAAGGTCTTCTAATAAAGCCTAAAAGTGCAGCTCCTGAAACGAATTTGTCACTACCACTATGCAATTAGTGGTAATGCATTTCAGATTACACTACCATGGTTAGTGATGGTAGCGGTATTCCCTTATATTCGTAAACGCCTCGTAGACCTCCTAAAGCTCGTACAATTACGAGCCCCTCATAAATTTACGAGGCAAATTTGATGCGCAAACGAGCTCATGAACTTCATTATTTCCGAAGATTTTATACTAAAATATATGATAAAATACTGAAAACAAATGAAAAAAATAATAGGTGAATAAAATTAATAAATTTCATCCACTAACTGTATAAACATGGATCGAGCTGACGGGCTGTTATGAAAAATCCTACGAAACAGAAATGTATTCATAAAACCCTTTTCAACCTGTCAAACAGTCACTTTACGAGTTTTACACAGTTTAAGGGAAACCCCTAAGTGACAAATCGTGCCCTTAGTGCTAATGCATTTAAAATTTCACTATCACTACTCGAATAGCAGATGCAGATGATGAGGCACTTATGGTTAGGTGTAGATTTTTGAACATCTTTTATGATCTATTGACATATAAAAAAATTCCTCTAAAATTTTCTTTTGAAATTTGAATGTGGTTGATTGATTAATCCTTATTAATACATATGTGTAAACTAAATGGTAAATAGGGGAAATTTCCCCTCCCAAATCCGAATCGGTCGAGAAATCCCAGTTTGGTTAAGAATTCCAATTACTCCATGCTAATTACACATATCGAAATGAATTTTTTTCTGAGATAAAGCTGGTCATCTTGGTAATAGATTTTGTCGCTGAACCCATCTATGAAAACTATGCATAGCATTTTTAAATATATCTCTTGTCCTTTCACATTCCGCACAGTGTGCTTTTCGAAGACTCCATTCGAATTAATCGTAGCGCTTTCGACAGAAGCAGCATTTTGATATGAAACAAAATGGTTTTGAAAGCTAATGTAATTGTCATTCAGGGGAAAATATTGCAATTGAGCCACAATTACTCCTTGACCTTAAAAAAATTGTCAAAAAAGTGTCCTTCGAAAAAAACATGCAAAATCCACCGGATTTATTCCAAAAAAAAATGTTATTTTCTATTATTTTCGTCGATTGCTGTCGCTTTTTAATTCGAAATTTTCGTTTTACAAGCAGTTTCGAAAACTTCACCTTTGAGGTTATCTTTCGAATTTAGAATATTATTCAGATAAAGCTTTCAAAATAAGCAAAGTTTGAGGTTGTATTTTAAAAATAAAAATAAAATGTATATGACAAAAAAATGCCCTGCCCTTAAATTTTACACTGGGTTTTTAAATGACCACCGCTTTTTAAATGATGAAAAATGTATGTCCAGTTTTTAGTTGGTCCAAAAAATATATCCTACCCTTAAATTTTACATCGGGTTTTTGAATGAACAAAAATTTATTTCCAGTTTTTAAATGATCAGAAAAAATATGTCCTGCCCTTAATTTTTATATCGGTTTTTTGAATGGCCAAATATTTATGTCCAGTTTTTTGATGACCAAAAAAATATGTCGTGACCTTAAATTTAACAGTCATTTATGACCAAAAAATATGTCCGCCTTTAATTTTAACACCGCCTTTTAAATGATGAAATACTTATGTCCAGTTTTTAGTTTGCCAAACACATATGCCCTGCCCTTAAATTTAAATCGGTTTTTTAAAGCAACAATCTATGTCCAGTTTTTAGATAACCGAAAAAATATATCCTGCCCTTAAATTTTACACCGGTTTTTTAAATTATCGAAAGTTTATGTCCAGTTTTTAGATAACCGTCAAAATATATCCTGCCCTTAAAGTTTACACCGGTTTTTTAATAATNCAACAATCTATGTCCAGTTTTTAGATAACCGAAAAAATATATCCTGCCCTTAAATTTTACACCGGTTTTTTAAATTATCGAAAGTTTATGTCCAGTTTTTAGATAACCGTCAAAATATATCCTGCCCTTAAAGTTTACACCGGTTTTTTAAATTATCAAAAATTTATGTCCAGTTTTTAGATGAGTAAAAAATATGTCCTTCCCTTACACTTGACACCATTTTTCTTTTTTAAATTGCCAATTTTTTAGATACAAAATTATGTCCAGTTTTGAAATCATCTGAAAATTATAGCTAGTATTTGCCTCCAAGCGTTTATTTCAAACAAAATAAATTTCGTACAGATCCTTGTGTGTCATGCAATAAAAAACTTAAGATTGGTTGTGCTTGCAAAAATACAAACCAATTTGAATAGCAAGTTTAGAAAAATTCACGCGCAGCTTTTTTTTTTTTGAATCAGTAATCAGCACAATTTCTGCTTCAATTTGTATTAGAATATTATTCTTTCATTTACTATGTGTGACAAAATTTCCGAAAATTTTTTCATGTTAAAAAAAAATTCATGTTTCGAGCATTTTCCTTCGTTTGAATGTGTTTGAAAATAGTTTCGAAGTCGTTCATCGCATTTTCAATTTCGGCATCCTCATTACAGAGTATTGCAGTGAAAACGAAGAGAGTAAAAAATATTGTGCTGCTCTTTTAACTTTTGCCATTATTTTATTTTTCTATTAATCCACTCATTTTCTTCTTCACGCACGCAGACGCTCCTCCATTGGCACATTTATGCGTCCACAATCATCGGAGGGCACTGCTTCCACAACGAAATTGAAGGAGGTAAAACCGCAACCCAAATTGGACTACCGTTCGATGGTATCAGTTGATGACAAACCGGAATTGTTTATTAGTGTTGATAGTAAGTATTTTGTTTTTATGTGAAAAATATGTGATTTCTTTTTAGTTTACATAGTTTAATATTTTTTGAATAACTCAGGGTTGCAAAGTAGTTATGTAGAAATTTTGCGACTTATCTAAAGTGTTAAGTAAATTTTTTAGAGGAAAATTATAAAATGACTTTGAAATGTTTGTGTATTTTCGCTTGTTGCAAAACTTTTTAGCAATTAGGTGAGTCGCTTAAACTAAAAAAAAGTGATAAGCTAATAGGCGGCATACACGGTGCTTCTCACTCGCAGGTCGGTTGAATGTGTTAGCAAAAATAAATATGTATTCTTTACACCGACATGACTCTGGTATGACTCTGAATGACTCAATTGTGTGTGGTCGGAAGACGTGTCAACACGTACATAGATGACTCACGAGTCAGACGCACCGTCTATGGAGCCTATAAGAACTCGAAAATATTTTTCATGGAATTTATGACAAGTTCAGTCAAAGTTTCGAGCTCTTTGAGAGTTTTCCGAAGGTTTTCAAGTTTAAGAGAATACTTTTGATATATTTTTTTGCCGTGTGTCACTTTTTTATAATGAAAACTAACGAAAAAAAAAAAATAAAAAAAAACTTCATCATTAACTAACACAATCATATTGTCATCCATTCCATATGTATTTACCAAATTTTGCACGCGTAGTACGGGCGCCATATTTTCCGCACTTGAATATTGTTGGTATGTCGCAACAGTTTGTATGACAATTTTATTGAAACAGTTTTTCAAAAACAAAATAAATAAAAGTATAACATAACCTCAAGCATATTTTGTGTGTGTTTTAACCGCTTAAACAAGTGCATAACTCTGTACGTCACAAGCTGCCTTGTACATATATAAAAGTCACATAAATACATATGTACATATCCACATACACGCATAATCACTTTGCCTTAGGTGTACAAAATTTAAAATAAACGCAATAAATTTAAAATGAAAGTTTCAGCAGCAAAATTAATGAAAAATTACTAAATATAGTCAATGTCCAAATATTATCTCCATTTTTGTTTAATACCCTATTCTTCTTTGTATATATGTATATACATACATAATAGATAAATAAATCAGTTATCAGTCAAGAATTTAAATGCAGCTTAAGTGAGATACTACTTAAATTTATTTATGAGCCCACTTATTTTAGCCTTGATGTGTGTTAATGTAAATCACACCGAGATTTTTGGTCAACAAATTTTGTTTCTTATCTATTTTGGTTTCCTAGAATGTCGTCTATATTTATCAGCATATTTGTGTTTAAAAATGTGTGTATAAATGTAGCACTCGAAGTATTGCGAAATTAATTTGCTAAAGACATTATTACTAATGCGTTTAATTTTTTCTTGCTCCATCCCTCTGTCTCTCTCTCTCTCTATTTCTCTTTCTTTCACCACTATTAGAATTGATACCACGACCGGCTCGTGCTTGCCCGGACCCACCATTGTACTTACGCCTGCGCATGGGCAAGCCCATTGGCAAGGCAATACCGCTACCGACCTCTGTTATGTCGTATGGGAAAAATAAACTGAGACCTGAATACTGGTTTAGTGTACCTAAAAATCGGTAAGTAAAAAATCCTTTAAAATCCTTCTTTACATTAATGAAATAAAATCCTTTAGAAAAAAAATAAAAAATATGCAAAAAATAAAATGAACGATTTTTTCCAGTCTCACCCCCTCAATCGGTAATACCACGGTCCCGATTGGCGTCGTTTAAGGCGTGTCGCACAGGGGGCAAAGTGCTGATTCCTCTATAGAGACAAAAAATTTTAAATTAATTTAATGCCCAAAATCGATACCACTAAAATCGAGGATATCACATATAAATTTTGGGTCCCGATTGGAATCGGTTAAGACGTCTTCATAGGGTAATCTGAACTTTGACCCCTTCTTAATCCACTTCAATCGGCACCAAAATTTATGTGTGATATCTTCGACTATAGTAGGTAGCATCCACGTAGGGGTTGAGGAAATCTGATGCAAAAATTTGCTTCCAATGGCTTCGTTCCAGATGCTCACGATATTCACGATTTGCAGGTTTTTTGCAGGAAAGCGTTCCAGGTGCCAAAAAACCTGAAAGTCAAACCACTTTTGTGAGAGTAACTTGCTCTCTCTCTCAGTCAGAAGTTGCAGGTTTTAGTCCGAAGTTTTTCTTCCTGCGAGTTCATGAAAAGTGTGAAATGATAGGCAGGATTGCGTTGTAAACAAAAACAAATAGCAAAGAACATTAAGAGCCACGGAGACAATCAAATAAATACGTCAAGCATTGCATATGTGTAAGATTGGCTTGTGTCTTGCCCGCATACGTTCAAATAAACGCGTTAATTCAACAAACAATTTCTTTATCTTGTCCGCGCACTTGCTCACCACGACGATCAGAAGGCAAGTGCGCTTGTTTTTTGTCAAGCAAAACGCGAGACGGTTGATAAAGATATTTGATCGCCTCCATGGCGCTTAACATTAAAAAAATATGGAAGTAGTTACAGGAAAAGTGGTTTTTCGTGTTCCAGGTGACTTTTTTTTCTCTCTTGCTCCTCTCTTTCAAGAGAGTAATGAAGTTATGTGGAACGCAACTAGTATTTAAGAACATAAGTACATTGGCGTTCTTCTTTAATTCCACGAAAGTTTCAAAATGTCAAACAAATTTTTAGGGGTTCGGTAAAATTTTGACGTGAAATCTGATAAATTTGACAAGACGCGAATGACTAAAACTCCAACACATTCACAAGTAAAATTAACACATATGCAAAAATGTATATGCCAGTCGAGTCGGGTAGAACAGTGACAATCATTTTACCTGTCATATGATTGACAATGCTGATAGAATACGATTTTTTTTCGGTGACTATCATTTGACCGGTCATATGATTGTCACTGATGATGGAAATGTTCACAAGAAAAGAAAATATGTACATCATTATAAATCACAATAAAAAAATCTAGAAGCGAAAGGACGCGGCCGAAAGTTTTACCGAGAAAGTGCTAAGAAATAAACGATAAGTATTTAGAAAAAAAATTAAAGTGTTTTAAAATTAAACAAAAAATTTCAATAATGTTATGAGCAGAGAAAAGCCCATGTTGTTTAATATGACGTCGAAACCCATCAATTGTGATCAGTCATATTTGACCAACTTTTATAGCAAGTATGATTTGTCAATACTGACCTAAGATCCCATCAAGCATGATTATTCATTTGTGACCAATGTTTATATCATTGATGATTCACATGTATACGATTTTTTCCATCAAATTTTACACATTGCCCTTAATATTTTGATTGAAACTTTCATACAAAGTAATGACGAGTATTTCTGTCAGGATTGTCCGTCATTTTACCGGTCAAATGATTGTCACTGTTCTTGCAGGGATATTATGATTTATAGCTGCTCAAAGTCAAACTTTTGTCGAATTTTCGCGATTTAAAATTTACTTTTCCTTCTCTAAGCCCAAGTGGATTTATTCGTCAACTGTCACCATGACTTTTTCCCACCTGCCTCCATATAGTCGAATCAAACATTTTTTATAGTCTTCTAAAAAATTAACAACGCTTTTAAAAACAAGCTAATTTTTCTACGCCTTGAAATGCCACGAAAATAATGTGAAAAGTCAGTGACTTTTTGCATAGAAAATCTTTTTATTTCTCAACATAGTTTTCTTTTAGCTCAATATATTACAATTTTTTTACTCCTTCCACGTATACATACGTATTGACTTGATGTAACAACTTTTTTCTTGGCCAAATGTGGTCCTTTTAGTGCCAAATCAATATCGAATCTGCCCAAAATCTCTGAACAATAGGGGTATTCTCTGAGTCTTGCAAAGCCCTTGCACGGTGCACAGATTGCACGGTAAAAACCGGGGTTTGTATGGAACAGCTTTGCAAACCGTGCAATCGGTGCACCGTGCAAGGGCTTTGCAAGACTCAGAGAATACCCCTAATATTCACTGGTGATCGGTTGGTCCTTTGCAAGATAATCGATGTAATGGCACAGTGCATCCCAAAAAACTGTAACCATGTCTTTATTGGCCGACTGAAACCATTTGGTCTTCTTTGGTGCACTGCTTGATTGTTCTTTGGTCTCTAGTGTGTTGTGGTAGATCCATGCTTCGTTAGCGGCAAAAATTAGTTCGGATTGGGGAACATCGCCAAACACCCCTTTGAAGTGGTCACACGGTCGCGTTTATGTGTGAGCGATTAAAGTATGCTTGCTACAATAGGTGCATTCTTTTGCAACCGAGCTACAAAAGAACACTCGCTTAAATGACGAAATCCACGCAAAGCAACAAAACAAACTTTGTTAAGTGAAAAAACTGCTCTATTGTGAATTGTTAATGGGAAAGTGGAGAGGCAGCGTTACCGCTGAAAATTTTTCGAAAGTCGCAAAGAAAGTGTCACAGCCGAAAAGAAGTGTCTTCAAGTCATTCAAATCGTTTATACCATGTATGTAAAGACTTTCATTATTTTATCTTTCGAACCCCAGTAGGGCATATTCATAGTGGAAATAAAATCGACTCTAACGTTAGTTTTAGCTTTTTTAAACGGAAAAACTGCAAAAAAGCTGCTTAGAGTATACTCTATTTCATCTATGACCATTCGCCATTATTTTTAATAAATTGTCAAAAATAGTTTTTTCCAGGCATGGTAATAATTATGAGTAAAATAATTTAAATCAGCATTTAATCATTATTTTATGAGTTTTATTTTTTCGCTCTAAAATAATTATTATTACTGATTTTTATTTTTTGCTCAACGGAAATGATTATACGGCAGGTTCTGCAATTCACTTACGAGTGAATTTGAGGCAAGTGCGCTTTGAATTCAAGTTGGTAGGGGTTGAGATTCACTCGGAAGTGAATTGCAGAACCTGCCCGTATTATTCGATTTTTATTTTCTCGATCAAAAATATTGATAATTTTATGATTATTATTTTTTCGCTCAGAGATAATAATTACACTGTGAGACAAATGGTAGGGGTCAGTGATCGGGAAGGGTTCAAACTACCGGGGAAAGTTATATCGGTAAAAAAGAAGTTAAACGTGTCCCGGCGTTTCGCTGGGTCACGTCTAGGAATCGAGATATATCGATTTGAAGTTAGTAACTATCATATAGGGGAAATTGTCACCTTTGGTGGTCTTTTTTTTTGACATAACTCGAGAACCACTAGTCCGATTTTGCTCAAGCAAAAATTAAAAATTACAATTCCTTTAATCTGTTCATATAACGTGTTTCTATATAATCAACAGTTTTACCGGTAAAAATAAATGTATGAAGAAAA